CCCCAATTCTCTCAGCATAGTTGCTTTGTTCTACATGTATTTTCAATGAAATCATAGCATCTTTCCCTTCAACTCCAATTTTGTAAGAGAAAAACACCAAACCAGCCAAGAACGCAAGAATCATAGCAACAATTAACCCAATAGCAACAATGGTTTTCAATCGTTTCAAAACCCCTGTAGTGAAAAATGAACTAACAGCAGTACGACGAAAGCTCAGGCTACGAAATGAAGAAACATTATACATAGTAGAATCCACAGATTTGGAACTAAACAAGAACCCTAATCCAAGAAGCGAAACAGACCCAACAACGCCAAAATTCTCATATGCAAGTATAAAAATCCAAAACGAAACAAGCCATCGCAATAACTTAGAAAACACGCTCTGTTTCCGTCTAATATGCCCTGGTTTCTTCCTCCTAAGAACAACACGAACACAAACTTCACGAAATTGAACAAGGGTTCCAACAAAAACCTGAAAAACAGCAACCGGGATGGCGAGAATGGTTTCGGTGAGGCCTAATTTAAGGGGTTCGGACCAGAAACCTTCAAGGGTTTGTTGAACGCCGCGAAGAGGGATAGAACAGAGGACGGCCCATTGAAGGGGACGGAGATAGGCTTCGAGGAGACGACCGACGGCGTAGAGAGTGAGAATGGTGAAGGCGAGGCCGGCGTGAGCCATGGCGATGTAAAGGGCGAGACGGACCTGAGGATCGCCGGAAAAGGAGGAATCGGAATCGGAATCGGATTGCGACGGGAGTTTGGATGATTGTTGGTGGTGGTGGTGGTGGTGGTTTTGAGGGTCGGGGCTTGGTTTTCGAACGGAGGCGGATCTGAACATGTCCTGCCATGGAGGGCTGGAGGAATTGGAATTGGGATTGGAATTGGAATTGGGATTGGAATTGGAAGATGGGTCGGAGTAAGGGACGAGCTCCATTGGCAGGGGAGGTGGAAGTGACACAGAAATGGCGTCCGATGAAGAGGAGAAAGGCAATAACAGAGGGAGAGAAAAGGAGAGGGAGAGAACTCAGAGAGAATCGGCCTTTTGGGGGTTATAACTGTGTTAGTTATTGTCGTTTGCTATCTTTTTTTATGCTGTCGCCTTCACAGCAACTTTCTCATCCTAACTCTCTCAAAAATTCCTTTAAACTTTTAACGAATTTCAAAAATACCTTAAAATTTTCAAAAATAAGTTCACTGTAACAATGGTCGTTCGATCTGTTGTGTTAAGTCATACTATGTTATGTCGTGTTATGTAATGTTTGTAGATTAATGTTTGTGATGTTGATAACCGATGATGCATAAACTTCCATATATCATGTCATGTAAGTTATGCTATATACGAAAGATTGGACAGAAATTATGTATAATAATTTTAAGTTACGAGGACCTTGCACATTTTTGTGTGTCATATGTATGATGATACTTTTTCGTTATTATTAATACGAATGTGCATCTTATGACATTTGTGTTCGTCATGATGTTATGCGGGACATTTTCATTTGTGGTGTCTGGTAGATCGTTAGTGAGTGATAGTCTAACGAGCTAGGCTTAGGGACGCGTATATGAGCTTGTCTGGTGGGACTATGTGCACTTGCATGGGTTGTGTGTAGTGAAGTTACACATCCAACCCTACCTGGACGGGAAAGTAAAGCCTAAGGTCATGTCCGTATGTTTTTAAAATGATAGGTCCCACCCTATCACATTGCATTTTTTGACCCCAACAATGGATTGTTTATTAAGTATTTCTCAAAATACTCGAGTCGTGTGCAACCATCAAGTGGTCGGATGAGATGATCCTCCTCCCATGTGAGGGTCAAGATAGATAAGTGTCACAATGTGACTGAGGGGGATGGTGCATCATCCAACACACCAAAAGTATGCATTCAAGTTAAGTTGAAGCATATGAAAGGATGGAGTGAACGAGGCAACACGAGTGTCGAAGACAAACTTAGAGATGGCTAGGTAGGCCCAAACCATAACCTCAGAAGTCGATATTTCGATATGAGATTCGAATGGAACGTGTTTGTCAACATTGCGCCTCAACCCATGTGTCAGAGGTTGGATTATGCACTCGCTAGCCAAAACAAATTTTTTAAATGATTAAGCAAGGACACGAGATGGTCCAATGCCTCAATAGAACCCACATAGATGGATGATTGGGATGTCCCGACGATATGAATGACATGTGAGTCACTTCCGATCGATATGTTTAAACAAGCCAAGATGGTCGAACTGTCCTGAAATATGGGACAATATCATAATGCACAAATTGTTCGAACGGGAAGCTAGATAACGATAAGATGCAACGATGATTACAAGAAATCTTGGCCTAAAGTAAGACAAGATCAAAGCCAAAAGACTTAGGCAACTTGGCTAGAACTACAGACAATCGAACATGCACACACGGGAGGCATGTGTGGACGAAAATGGACGAACCTTATCTAACGTTCAACAAAGCCACAAAGATGGACGAAAATTATGAATGGAGCTTAAGTCCCATTAAGACTTGTCATGAGCATGTCAAGGTCATGAGATCATACGGTTGAAAACATTCGATCATACATAAAATACCTCATGGAACCTAAGTTAAGATAATTGCAATCCTATCTTTTTAGTAGAACATGATTTATTTTATTTCATTTAATTCACTATCAATTACCTCTTTATTTTAATGACAACATTATTTTAAAATATTTATTATGAATGTTAAACTCATAATACCTTTTACGAAAGGTTTAAAATGATTGTTTTCTAATTGTTTTAGTCATGCATACCGTGGCAACCTTAAAAATATTTTAAATATCGTCACAACGGTCAAGTTCAATGGTCAAGTTCAAAGCCAAAAAGCCCAACATATATTATATACAAAAAGTAATTTGGTCACTAATAAATTACAAATCAATATATTATATACAAATATTTCAACAGCACTGTATCTTACAAAATTGCAAAAGGCATACAAGAGTATGAATCGTTGGCGGTGACTTGGTGAAGGCAATCTATGAGAGAAGGTTATCGAACCAGATTTTAACAGAATAAAGCGCAGGCAATCTATGAGAGAAAGTTATCGAACCAGGTTTTGACCGAATAAAGCGCAGGGCCAACGAGTTCAGTCGAACAACATAACGAGTCTAACGACGGAATCAAGCTTGAAAGGAATGGGCGTAGGCTTAATAGTGAACACCACTTCTCGATATGAAATTAATGACTTAAAAGACAGATGCCAAGAGAAAGAGACAAATATATTGCATTGCAAAGAGAGATCGAAGATGCAGATTTTCTGACACTGATAGAAAAGATAGAGAAGAGAACAATCCACCGGAAGAGCATACCTTCAGGAGCACCCCCGACAAACATCGAGATGCACGAAGCCGACCTATATCTCAAAAGAAAAATGCAGGAAAGGCAAATGAAAGATGAAAGCGATAGCTGCCCTATAGCTTCAATGACACTCCAGAAATCCACAAGGGAGGCAACCACCAGAGTTCATCAGTCAATAGAAGTATTCAACTTTTCTCACTTAAAACCAAATTATTTCCAGTTTTCCAATAACTTCTTGTTGATACACACACAGGATAGTAACAAAATCATCAAAAAAAACCAGTTAAGCATAAATTTATCTCAATACCAAAAAAATACAATACCTTTCTAATCAACATATGACCTCTATACGGAGGCGTCTAAGCTAGTAGAATCGACATATCGATACAAGCGATCTGCTCCCCCCCCCCCCCCCCC